GGCAATATTCAGTTCAATGTTTGTTATTTTTTAAGTCTGATGTGAATGAAAACATACTCAAGAGCATTACATTATCTCTCTTTATAGTTTTTTTATTTTTTTATAAATAATTATAGCAATTAACATTATTTTTTTCGTTATTTATATCCTCTTTTCTATACTAAGTCATTTTAATATTTTCCTAATTTAAATTTTTGTATCATTAACCAATTTCAATGAAAAATATATTGATATCCACAATAACAAACAAAATACTATACTCATATGATAAATTAAAGTTATATAACATAACATAAGACATATGCTCTCGTATATAGTAAAACCACAACTCATTTGAGAGCAATGTTTATAGTGCATTATGATCATTAGATTCATTACACATGTCTATTTTATGACTTTAGCTAGCATTGAATATTATCTATATTTATTATCAGTTAAGAGATTTATATATTATGTTAGGGAGAAAATATCTCTTTTCTAAAAACTAGTTAAGCAACATCGATGTCATGGTAATTACTCATCTAAAAATTATTACTAACTAATATTTTTACTATGTTTCAGCAAGTAATACTAACTCATGTAAAATTAATAAATAATACTTCAGCATGTGCAGATGAACTAGCTAGTAGTGTTTAGTTGCAACATATGGTGGCTAGTGCTGGCAATAACATTATCGAAAATAGAGGAATTTAATGTGTGAGGTATTATTCATGACAATGTTTATTTTTTAGATAAATGATAAAAAGTTTGGTGTTCATTTATTTTTAAAAAAGAGTATATGTAGAATATTCCTTTCAATGCTACGCATCAAACTTCACTCTTCACCTCCTCCTTCAATCCACCCTGCCACTCGCCTACATACCACCCTCTCATCTACCGCGATCATCCGTTCGAGATGCCCGTTGTCGAGAGCTCTACCGACTACACTGTCTCCATAGCTGTAGCGTTTGTGGTGGCCAAGGGGGCACCGACTAGCAGGAGATGCTGGAACTGGAGTACATGGCTTTCAAACTCAACCCCATGGTAGAGGATGTCACGCCCTGATAAATCCATCCCGAATTAAGAATCACTTTTTAAAAGGAATAATATTAAAGAGAGAATCTATTCTATACCACTGAGTTTGTTCGAGTTCAACAATTCGCCATTGACATTATCTTTTTCTATAACATACCGACGACTTTATCAATTGTTCTACAATACACCATTAGTTTAGGCCTTCTTTTTAAAAATACCCACAATACCTCTAGTGAGATATAAGATTAACAATTGATTTATCTTATTAGAAGTTTAAAAAATTATGAAAATTTTAATGTGGACCCACTACACAACATGGAACTTTGTATACATGTTTCAAGTTTTTTCTGGTATATTTAGTTTTTAGAAAAAAAATATCTTATGTGGTATATGAGAGAAAATTTGCTTATACGAGAGATGTAGTATATGAAAGATGATTTATATTAAAAACATCAATAAAAATATTTTATATAGCATATAACAGATAAGTTATATTTTCTAATATATATATATATATATATATATATATATATATATATATATATATATATATATATATATATATATATATATATATATATATATATATATATATATATATATAAAAACTTGAAACTTCTATACAAACTTCCATGTTGTGTAAGGATGCTACATAAAAGTTTTCATATTTTTTTAAAACTTCTAATTGGATAAATCAATTGTTGAACTTGTATGTCCATAAGGGTATTTTAGGTATTTTTAAAAAGAATGTCCAGCCTAATGGCGTAGTGTAGAACAATTGATAAAGTCATCGATATATTATAGAAGGAGACAATGTCGATGGAAAATCGTTGAACTCGAACAATATAGAATAGATTCTCTCATTCATTGTTAAAAGTCTAAGAGAAATCTCAAACACTAAAATACATCTAAGAAAAATTGGAATTCTGCTTGGAGTATTTTTAGTAAATTCTCCTTCTTCTAAAATATCTCCTCAATTTTTACTTGAATTTTCAGAGCACAAGAAATAATTTAAATGCAACAAAAACCAATTTCAGAGTTAATTAAAAATGAAAAACCTAAAAATAATTCTCTCTTCTCTTAGGGCCATTTTTGGCCCAAAGTCCTTGTCTCCCTCAGCCCGTGGGCGAAGTCTTCTTCTCTCTCTCGGGCCGACCTCCTCTCCTCCGGCCCATCCTTTTCCTCAAGCCGGCCCACCCTCCTTCCCTCTCTCCCTTGGGCCGCCTCGGTCCAGCTCCTCCCCTCCTCGCTCGGCCCAGCTGGCCACGTCGTCTTCCTCCAGTTGCCGCCTGTCCCATCCCGGCCGAACCCTACCGCCGGCATGCCGATCTCCCTCCCCACTCATTCTCCTCCTAATTGAATACCAAAAATCAGTTCCTATCCTCCTCATCAATTCCCCCACGTTCTCCCTCTTAATTCGGCCTTGATTCCTGAATTTACTCTTCGATGAACTGCCGCCATTGATGGCAGCCCGGCGAGTACTCCGGCCGTTCCTCTCCTCTCCCCGGTCAATCCCCTCCTCCTCCCCGGACTATAAAAAGGAGTCCCGACCCCCTCCTCTCTCCCCACATACCACTGCCCTCCCCCACCTCTCTCTAGGGATGTAAGTGGATAGTCTTGCTACCCGTATAAAAACCTATTTGTTAGTTCATTTTTCATATGGTAGTACAAAATTTAGAAAAAAAAATGAACTAGAAGTGAGATAAGCGGGCTAAAAAAAACCCGCTTGCCCGCCCCGCTTGCATCCCTACCTCTCTCCCTGGCCGCCGCGCCGCCTTCTTTTCACGTCGCTACCGTTGCGCAACTCTGACCGCCCCTCGCCGGCGGTCGGGACGTCCTCGGAGCCCGGCGTCGCCACCATCCGCTTCGCAGCGACCTCCTCTTCCCCGGCCTCGCCTCCGTTCCGCCCGAGGCCAGCTGGTGCGCCGGGGACGCCGACGTCCAAAACATCGTTATCCTCCAGCTTTGGCAAGCCCTCCCCGTCGAGCTGGGCGCTGCCAGCCCGTGCTGTCGCTGCCGACGGTCTCGCCTCACTGTGCTTGTCCCCGGCATCCCCTTCCCTAAGCCCGAAGCTCGCTGGAAGCCTGTTCTCGCCGGCGAACAGTGAGGACACCATCGTCTTCTTCCTCCAGCAGCCCCCTCCCTTCTCACCGGAGCGCGGCCTCACTGCGCCCGCTGCTGTCAGCTGAACCTCGTCGCCCTCTCCCTCGGCTGCACCTTCTCTTCAAGCGAAGACCCTTGGAACGTCACCCCGTCACTGTCGCCTTCCTCCGGTCGCCGTTCCTGCCAAGATGAAGTGTTGCCCGTCATCATCGTCGTCAAGTCCGCAGCACCAAGTCCTCCAGCGTCCGCCTCTTCGTCAAGCCCGAAGATCATTGGAGCCATCCCCTCGTCGTCGACCCGTTCGTCTCCGTCACCCTCCTCCGTTCGTCGTCGCCGTGCCATGGTCGTCGCCGGTTGTCATCGTTGTTCCCTTCCCATGTCGTGCCCGTGGTGAGAACCTCTTCCCTTGCTACCTTATCCTCGTCCTCCCCATGTGGTCGCCGCGTGGATTGCCCACGTGTGTAGCTCACGTGGTAGTCCCGGCTGCCAATTGCTCGATCATTTCTTTCTTCGAGCGATATTCCATTGCGCATAATTTAATAGTATAATAATAATAATAATTAAATAACTCAGAAATATCCACTTTAATTGCACTTAAAATTCGGATGGTTGTTTCTCGGCCATGCGAGCTCCTAATTGACCCGTTTAAATTGTTTAATTTTTGTTATAACTTAAAAGAACCCATGTTTGTTGTTTTTTTGTGTTGTCTTCATTTCTTTCTTAGAGTTGTAGCCCTGCTTTGTTGTTTTGTTGTTCGTGTAGTTGTCGTCGTTTCGGAAGTTCTCGAAGTGCAGATCAAGTCGTCAGTAGACCTTCTCTTCGAGCAAGGCAAGTCATACCATATTCGTTGAATATATTGAATCCCATTATTGCAAAAACTTATGTTGTTTTACTTCTATATGCATCATTAAAATGAGATTCGCTCGAATTCTACTCTCACGCAGCGGGTATTCGCTACAATGCCATTTTGGCTATTTGTTGCATTTACAAATCATTTTTAAGGCAACCATGCTGACGCCGCTGCCGACCGGCAAACGTGCCGCCGCCTCCCCAACCTAGCACGCGACCTCTCCACGAACCGAGCTGCACCTCCTCCCCTGACCGCGCCACCCAAACCTTAGGCCACACCGGCTGCGCCGCCACCCGCGGCTCGTCTCCTCGCTAAGCCGCGCTGTAGCAACCGGCTGCCGCCTGCTCAACATTTTAAGGAGGGGGAAGGGCAGGGGCGCAAATGGCGGGGGTAGAGAGGTGGCGCACCGCGCTAGGAGGCGGCGGCGGCACCTTAGCCTAGTCGCCTTCTCTCCTCTCGCTCGCTCGTGAGTGCGTGTTGTTGGTCCAGAGAGTGAGATGCGTGGATATGTGGTTTGGTTCAACCACAACCAGGGGCAAAACTGTTCGAGAAATAATTGTTTTGATGAAAAATGTTTTGCAAATACAACAAACAACCAAAATAGTATAGTAGCGAATGCGCACTGCTTGAGAGTGGCATTCGAGTAAAACCTATTTTAACGATGGTATTCTAGCGAAGTCGGTTCTTAAGGATCACCCATATACAAAATTCTCTAGTGGCAGTCGAATACAGTTTGGGCGTTTCCTGATTCAGTCGTCATGTAATGGCATTATGGCAGCTACACCCCTTTTCATGTTCGGATCGGCGTAGAAATAGATTCAATTTTCGCTGGAGTTCCGATCAGCGTGGAGACGAACCGGAATCTGATGCAGTTCTTGCTCGCGTCGGCGTGGAGGTTGGATCCATAAATACCGGAAGGTCAGATTGTTTGCAAGCCTAATATTCCCTTGCCGATTTATAGAAGAACAAGTATTCTGAACAAGTATTAATGGAAACGGCCGCAGGAGCAGGCCCTGGTTGGCCTGAGCTGCCGATGGACATGTTGTTGGAGATTCTGCGGCTGCTCGAGTGCCCAGATGTGATGCGCTGTGCCGCCGTTTGCACGGCTTGGCGCGCGGCGTACCGCGACTTGCGTCGCCGTGGCATTGCAGCCAGCCGCCAGACCCCCTGCTTAATCTATAGATCGGCTGCTGCTGGCCTGAACGCCATTGGCATGTACAGCCTTTCTGACCAGAGGCCCTACACGATCCCCATCCCTGACCCCATCAGCGAGCAGCACTGGTTCGGCTCCTCCAACGGTTGGCTGATAACAGCTGACTGCCGGTCTGACATCATACTGCTCAACCCCATCACCGGCCGCCGGATCGCTCTTCCTCCGGCGACCACCATGCAGCATGTCACGCTGGTCCTGAACGAGGAGGGATTCTTGACAAGTACGAGGTCTCCTTCTACGATTGGAGGGATCCAAGCAAAGAGCACAGCGAGCCCGACACATACTCCCTGGAAGAATACCGTCGCTATATGTACACTAAGTTAGTGTTGTCTTCAGATCCGTCTTCAGATGATGACTGCATCGCCATGCTCATCCATCAGCCATATGATCAGCTCTCTTTTGCCAAGGTCGGAGGCAATAGTTGGAATTGGCTCGCAGTCGATTATACTTTCGTTGACTGTATCTACCATGACGGATGGTTCTACGCGGTAACTTCCATGGGAGTAATTCATGCCTTCAATCTTCATGGGCCTTCCGTTGTGCACAAAACAATCTTTCCGAGGATCCAAGACAATAATATGCACCAGGAATACATCGTTCAGGCTCCATGGGGGGGCCTTCTTCGGATCTACAGAACAGTAGACATCCTTGAAAAAGAGCAACGACACAACCAAGTAGTTCGTACATTGGGGTTCAGAGTGTACAGGGTCAGTTTGGATGAGCAGAAGCTTGTGAGGATGACAGGAATTGGTGAACACGCTCTCTTTGTTGGGCACAATGCTTCGGTTTGCCTTTCTGTTAAGGACCATCCCACTTTGATGCCGAATCATGTTTACTTCACTGATGACGATTTTGAAACAGTTTTTTCTTTCAAAAGTTCTCGTCGTGATGTAGGAGTGTGCAACATAGAGAATAACACTGTCACAAAAGTGGTATATCCTGAACTTTGGATATATTCACTGCCTCCCATTTGGTTTACTCCTAGTCTCATAGGATAAGTGTGCATTCAGTTATCTTAATAAATACAGATGTTTACCAAGCTTTCATTGATATAGTCTCTATAAACCACCCTTTCTTATGATTTCACATTTTGTTATTCGAATTGTTATTATCAGTGTGACAGTGTTATCAACGGTGTTATAAACTACCTTTTGATTACTAACTCCGCTCATCTTAGTTTTCTAATGTAATACAAACCCATCTGTAATAGGTTTGTCACTAACTTCTCCAGCTTTGCTGTGCATTTTTTATGCCAGCATGCTTTTCCAGCTATTTTGGTATGTGTGAATTACTTCGGTTAATTTATCTATGGTTGTGACTCCGTCATGTTTGATGAACCCAAAAGAGTTTTGTTAATAACTATTGAAAATTACATGGATCATTCTAATTTTTGCCTAGTATGTTAGTTGCAAGATATGCTTCATGAGATCCCAGTCATAGTTATTAATTGTTCTGAAAGAAGCTCTCACATATTAAAAGATGATGACATTATTTTCTTTTCTGAAGACAAGCCTCTTGTTTTAGGAAAAAATATGAATTATCCCTCCAAACTATCACGGTCGATCGAATTACCTCCATGAACTCGACAGCGTGGCAAAAAAATATTTTACAAAATAATGGACCCACATGTAAGTCTCTATATCTCCTCTCTTTCTCTTCTACTCCCTCTGTTTCACAATGTAAGTCATTCTAGCATTTCCCATATTCATATTGATGTCAATGAATATATATATATATATATATATATATAGATTCATTAATATCAATATGAATGTGGGAAATGCTAGAATAACTTATATTGTGAAACGGAGGAAGTACCTCCATCTCTACCTACACAGGGCGGCGGCGGAGAGTGGAAACCTTGTCGCCGTCCGCCCTGACATCGTCAGGGGAGGCGTCGACTGCTCGCTAGTGACCGCCGAACTTCCAGGTCCATGACAACCACATGTCCATGTCGTGGGACCACATCAAGGCGTCCCAGCTCGCCGGCTTCGACGTCGTGGTCAACACCTTCACCGCGCTATAGAAACGCTACGGCGACAAGTTCAGCCATGTCGATGCGCGCCTTGCCTACTTCATCGGCCTCGTTAGCCAGCCATCGCACGTTGCAGCCGTGCACCGCAGCAACGAGGGTGGAGATGGAGACGTTGAGAAAAACTGCCTCCACAGCGCTACCGCGCAGGCCCAAGCATCATACGGCGGAGGTGTTTATCTCCACCGTGCAAGTGAAGTCATTGTCGGAGAAGAGGGAGGAGAACCCACCCGCGACCTGGACAGGGAAGCGGTCCCTGCCATGGCATGCGCACGCGCGTGGTACGCTGCGACGTTGCCGCTCCTGACGGCTAGCTCAGAAAGCTGATCCGGGCCGTTGTACACCCGCCTGAGCTGACCTGGCGCGGCGGACGGCCAGCAGAAAAGCGCGAGTGCCCCAACTTGCAACGCGTCGATGAACGCCCCTCCCCCGCTAGACACCTGGGAGAACCTCACGAACGGCGCGAAGCGACAGCGGCAGCAGAGGAGTTGGTTGCGAGGGCGCAGTACACGGTGGAGATCCCCTCCGTGACGGTGTAGGCCGTGGGGCTGGCAGCGACGACAAGTGTGGAGGATGAGGCGTGGGCGATGAGGTGGAGCGGCGCAAGGAGGAGACAGGTCATTGGATGAGGTGGGCGGCGACGGCGATGGTAGGGAGGCTGGTGGAGACGAGGCGTCAGCGGCAAGGAGATCGATGGGGGCCGGGCGACGAGTCCTTTAGATCCGCCCTCCGTGCCCTCGCCTCGCACGTCGCCCACCGCCGTGGCCTTCCGCCCACCTCTCCCGCCGTCGACGGCGTCCTCTACTTCACCAGTGCCCATGTGACGAGGTCGGGGAAGAGGGGAAAGAGAGAGGCGAGAGAGTCTCATGGGTAGGCCCCACTATGTTTTTTAAAGAAAAATGCTGACCGAATTGCCAGCGTACGCCGTGTAGGACAAAACTACTCCGGATTGGGTTGAGGGGGCTTATTCGTCCGGTACAGACTGTTCAGGGTTTAAAATGTCTGGTTTTATGGTTTAAGGGGTAATTCGGACTGATATGATAGTTTATGGGGTAATTCATACTTTTTCCCTTGTTTTATTACTTCTTATGCAGCTTTGCGCACATGTGAAAGCATTGTGATTTTCGTCACGCCTTTAACTTGCACTTCCAGTACATTCTTGTTCCATTGTGTTCAGTCAATACCTCACTCAGCATATGGCAGCATGCAGGATATGCATAATTATTCAACTAAACTTCAGAGACATCTCAAATTTTACAACATGTTTTCAGCATGATTTTGAAGACCATAAACTAATCTCCCCCATTATTTTGGTCCTGAAAACCTATCAGGAAGAAAGATGTAAGCAACAAATTATTAACTAAAAAAGATTTACGATGTCACAGGTAAGAAATCAGTAAGTAGAGTTGAGAAATGTGAGATACACTATAACTGGTTAAGGGCATCTCAGGGAACGAAATTGATAATACAAACAAAAGCTTTATAGGTCAGGTGAACTCCATAACTGGTTGCATCATGGACATGCATATGTAGTTAAAAGAGTTGCAGATTTAGAATCAACTGTTATGTATTCATAATGAAATGGGGCTAGAAAAGGCGAACTCTGAAGAAACTTGACAAAATTACAAAGAAAACAAGAAAGAGGCTGGAGTAGTTCAATATGCAAAAGCTAAAGGATGAACCGTGTTTACTTATAGATCTGGCTGGATACTCCGTCCATTAAGATGGTAGGTTCTAACAGTACTCTCTCTTATTCATATATACCAGCATAAATGGAAGTAATAGATGACTAAATGTTTTACATTTCCTAATTCCCATGCTTAAAGTAATTGATTAACTTGCATTCCGAACTGTACCTGTTTTCATGAGATTGGGCATCATCCATATAGGAGGCAACCAACTTTTCCAAGGTTCAGGGCTAACCACATTTGATAGAGAGTTATTTTCCAAGCTGTAAATTCCAACATCCCGTCGCTTATGTCTAAACTCAAGTAGCCATAGATACTCATCGTCGGTAATATAGACATGATTTGGCATCAACATATGGCAATCCTTCACAGGAAGGCAGGAGGAAGTATTATGCCCAATAAACAGCGCATAATCACCTATGCCTGTCAGTTTGACAAGCTTCTGTTCACCAATATCAGCCTTGTATACTACAATGTCAGATGTATATAGCTCTGTTTCTTCTATTTCAGGATTCCCATTGCGCGGAATTATTGTCATCCTGTTTACTATTAGGATATCGCCCCATGGAGATTGAACTATATACATCTGTTCATACCCTAGTGTTAGCATATCTTTAAGAATTCTTTTGTGTACGACAGATGGCCCATTCAGATTGAAGGCATCCACTGCTCCTAAAACACTGACGGTGTAAAACCATCCCTTATGATAGATGCAATCAGTATAAAACAAACCAATAGGAATCCAATTCCAATGATCTTCTCCTACTCTTGCAAACGAGAGCTGTGAATACGGTTGATGGATGAGCATGACAATGCAGTCACCTGAAGATGGATTGGACGACAACATTGCCTTGTAATAGACTTCACGATACTCAGGCAAATCAAATTCATATGGTGTTTCCTCCACTCTTGGAATCTTGCCATTATAGTATGGCATCTCATACTTGTCGAGAACCCCATCTTGATTGAATATAGGCTTGATATGCTCCATGGTCGTCACCGGCGGCAATGCAATCTGTTCGCCAGTGATTGGATTAAGAAGGATCAGATTAGACTTATCATCAGCAGTGACAATCTAGCCATGAGATGAGCCGATCCAGGTCCGGTTGCTGATGGGAGGGTCAGGGAGCGGGATTGTGTACTCCCTCCGCTCCAAGAGACTGTACATGCCAACTGCGCTTGCACCAGCCGCCTCGGTGCAATAGAGTAAACATGGGGTCTGCCGGCGCGGGCAAACATTGAGGTTGCGGGCGTCGGAGAACACCTTGCGCCATGCCGAACAGACAGCGGCAGAGCGGAGGAGGTCTGTGCACTCGAGCAAATCGAATACAAGGCTCAATATATCGTCAGGTAGCCCTGACCAATCTGTCACAGAACCATCCATCGTGGAGCTTCAAGAAACAGCGCCTTGATTAGATCACGGATCCAAGAGGACCAAGACTATGGGGCAGCCGACGGATACAACACTCCGGCGAGCAACCCCGACCCCCCCCCCCCCATTGTGCTTGCTTATTATATAGATCCTTTCCACGCCAATCCGAGTCATGTAAGGACTGGATTAAATATATCTGAATACATTACAGAGGCGGATCTAACCTGGGACATACGGGTTCAGTTTGGGAACAAAGTAAATTTCTAGAACAAAAGCTAGGGTTAACGCGAATTCCAGAAAAAGTGCGTTGGTATAGAGAGAGATGAGGAGGAGGATTTGCGTAAGGATGCTCACCAGAATGCGGCGGAAGCATAGGGACAACCGACGGCGCCATTACTCGCGGGAGGGATGGATGGGGATCGGCGCAGGCAGCTGCGGGCGTCGGAGTCGGAGCCGACGCCGAGCGGAACGGGAAAAAGAAACACCGCCCGCACTCGATTTCCTCTATTTTTTTTTTCTTTTTTTCGACTACTAGAGAAAAAAGGTTGATAAAAGAGAGCATATGGTCAATAAAAGCTGAGTGAGACAGTATTGTGGAAAATCTGAAAAGCAAAATATAACAAAAACAAAAAGGCGTGTATGTGTGTTGGTATTTCTACAGATAGAAGAATCCATAAGTACATGGATGTACCGATGTAGCACTTCCTCTACGGAGTATTCCAAGGTTATCGAATCATAGGGAACGTGTGTGGTCAAATCTTCCTTCGGTTTATCGAGGACACCAAGCAGATGATAGGCCAGGATATAGAGGATTTTCTAGTGAGAAACAGACTTTAATCCTAATGCAATACTTCATGCACTAGCAACCCGCTGTTCCCAGATGTCGCTCTACTACGTACCCGGACAGGGAGGACTTGGGTGATCTTGAGGCCTGTCACCACCTCTATACCTACCTCAAACACATACTGTGGGATACGCAGCAATTACTGGATAACAATTGACTAAACACCACGTCTAAACAATTAATATCTACTTTAATGTTTATAACTCACCAAAACAATCACTATATTTCAGTTGATTATAGTGAACAATAATCCCGTATGTTACTTAGGAACTAACCAAGAGATAATTCTCACAAGATAAATCTAAATTACTCAAGAAGAATATTATATTGAATTCAGAGTAATAATCAGAATAAAAGAAATAGGAGAAGATTACCGACAACTCTGGAATTCTTCTGACTTCTTCTACTCTACTCTCTTCCTATTCTAGTATACAATATAGTACAATAGAGCCTCTTATAATTCATCTCAAGCTTGGAAGTGTGTGAGTGAAGTGAGGGAGTGATGTCTTTATATAGAGGTAGGTATGACGGTTGGCGAAGGAGAAATGTCCAAAGTGCCCTCCAACCGTCATTAGGGATGCATCTGGAACGTCCACGCCAAACCCCACATCCAACGGTCGAGATGGTGGTTCGGCCGAACCAGGGGTTCGGCCGAACCTGGGCTGGGCCCATCTGGCCTGGCCCTTGGCCCATCTTCCCCCCTATACCTCCTCTATCTATTCTTCGGTATTTTGGGCTGCTTCTCTGATGTTTTGATGAAGTTTATAACCCATCCTTGTATGTATACATAATTCTCCTCACTTTAGTCTAGATTTCCTCCCAACATCGGGGTTTATCACCTGCATACAAATATACACCAACACTTATGGAATTTGTGAGATTAAGCATCTATCACTATGTTGGATGTTTTATTATCTGAACTTTATGTAGATGTTGGCGGTATAGAATCGACATTTAACAGTTGCCAACAATGTGAAGATTGGAAAAATATATATATGAATTTTTAAGTAGATACTCCCTCATGTATTTTATATACGTATGGCCTTTCGTCTTATTAAAAAATTAATTATTATTTATTTTGTTATAAATTGATTTATCATCAAAGATTCTTCAAGCATTACTTTATATATTTATTTTAGTTTATATTTGTTTAAATAATACTATGGGATTAACTATATATTTATCGTCAATTTTTTTTTAAAAAAATGACAGATATAAATATAGTACAATCGTGATGTAATTACATATAAGTTGTATGTAACTTTTAAAAATCCCGAGGTAATATGTTGCCAAATCCCCTAACACGTGCGTGGGGTGTACTTTTCTGCTACCTCCCTGGCATGAATTTTAAAGCAAATAGAACGGTTCAAAATTATATTATAGTTACATGCTAGTTATAGTTACACTAGAATGGTACTATATTTACAGTTGTCAAATTTTTAATTATCGACAAATATATAGTAAAATAGTAAGAGGAATGATTAAAATATGTCTAAAGTTAATGGCGTCGTATATTAAAAACCGGGGAGAGTGTATTTAAAACCATATATAAGAATATATAGGGATAAGGAAGAGATAGATATTTATCCCAAGTTGACAGATGAAGCTGTAGATAAACATTACTATATATCAAATATTAATTCACATAAATAAAGGAAATAAAAACAAAAAAAATATTAACTCAAGGTTATACGCTGTTCCGATCAATATAATAATATAATATGGTGGTTTCAAAATATTTCTAGATTTGATCACTTACATTTTGATCAAATTTATTCTGCTTTAGTATCATGTTGCTCACTTTGCATAGTGCCAGTCCATGTTTTTCTTCTAATTTATTAGTTTCCGTTTTTTCCGTGGAGTATATTTTTTTACTTTGCCAGAGCCTACAGTAAAAATAAAAGAAACAGAAAAATTAATAGAAAAATAAAAAGAATAGGAATAGGAAAGGGTCGGTTTCCATGTTTTGGAATTCATCTCTGATCCGCTGAGGAAGTGTGCAGGGTTTACGCCTGCTTTTGGTAATCGTCTTGATCGTTATGATCCTTTGGAGTTAAGACTAGGGTTTTGTCGTACACCTGGTCTCTTTCAATCTTGGGAAGTCTGGAAATCAAAGAGGAAGTTTAGTCCGGGTCGGTTTCCTTGGGATGCAAAAGGGATATTTCCAATCTCGTTTGATCTCCGCTATAAAGTTGTGGTATTCGGCAGGCCAGTAATACAATACAAAGTTCTCCAAGGTTTTCCCCTCCTGGTTGCAATTTAGGGTTTCTACCTCATAAGCTCAAAGGACGATCCATGGCGGTTGCTGACGGTGGGGGTGATAAAGGGATTGTCACTTTGATGATCACCCACCCGAAGCTGATCGGCGGTGACGTGGGTGTACCTGTGGGATCGGTAGATTTGGGGGAACAAGAGTCGATGCAAGCGTCGGTGGTTAAAACAGGGCTTGTGATGGATTCTGATACCGGGGTGTCCATGGGACCAGAGATTTTTACAGAAGGAGAGGTGCTTGAAGAGGAGGAAGATGTGATTGAGGTGGTTCTGGAGGAAGATGAAGTTCAGAAAGCAGGATAGTGGACAGTTCTCGCAAGGTTCCGAATCAGGTGGCTTTGTTCGAGGATATGCGGAGGGCGTCGAGATTCCATTCGGACATGAGCTACAAGTCGCTAAGGGATAACATGTTTATCATAACCTTTACTGTAGAAGGTGATTATGAGTTTGTCATCCAAGGGGGGCCATGGATACACAGAGGAGATGCTCTTCTAGTGGCCAGTTTTGATGGATTAACAAGCCTATCGTCTGTTCCACTAGAGTTTGTACCTATTTGGGTCAGGATTTATGACTTCCCACTTGTGCTGATGACAAAAGCCAGGGTGAATCGTATGGTAGCAAACTGGGGCGTGTTCGTGAGGTGGATGTTGGTGACGATGGGAGGAATAGGCATGACATCTTCAGAATAAGGGTGGATCTTTTGGTTAAGCGACCTTTAAAGTTGAAGCTGGCCATAAAAATCTCTGTCCAAGGCAAGGAGGTAACACGAAAGTTTGATCTCCGTTATGAGAGGGTTCCACACTTCTGTTTTATCTGTGGTTTCATTGGTCACTCGGATAAAGAGTGTGTGAAACGTACTGCAAATGAAGATCACCCTTTTCAGTTTTATGCGGAACTGCGTTACTCCCCTCTAAAACCTTTTGAGAGGAAGGTGTGCAGGTGTTATGAAAATAGATGCACAACGGAGACACAGATTTTTACGTGGAAAACCCTTGCGTGAAAAAACTACGGGCGCCGACCGGCAATGATCACTATAGAGGAGTTGATTATAAACGTAGGGGAATAACAATGGGAACGTCACCCCTTCCCGTACGGTTTACAAGAGTATATATAGGAGATAATAGAAAGACACCTAATAGGATAGACATGAAGTCCTAGTAGGAAATTCATCCGAATATATTGTGGGCCCAAAATTCAGATCAAATATTTAACAATCTCCACCTTGAGACGAATTTTCTCTTGTAGCATAAAAACATCAATCACCGAACATACCTCATGTAGGTAAAATCACCGCGCGTCAAATAGTCTCTAGGACTATACTGTAACACCAACCAAGCTTGAGCAAAGTTCAAACTTAGTAGCAGGAATTGGCTTTGTCATCATATCAGTTGGATTATCATTAGTACTTATTTTGCATACCTTGACATCACCTTCAGTAATCACACTTCGAATAAAGTGATATCTCATATCAATGTGCTTTGTTCTCTCATGGAAAATTTGATCCTTTGTAAGGCATGTTGCACTTTAACTATCACAAAATATATCAATGCAAGACGTAACTCCACAAAGCTCGGTGTACAAACCTTTAAGCCAAATAGCTTCTTTACAAGCTTCAGAAATAGCCATATACTCTGCTTCAGTAGTAGATAAGGCAACAGTTGCTTGCAAACTTGCCTTCTAACTAACAACACATCCCCCAATAGTGAAAACATAACCTGTGAGCGATCTTCTCCTATCCAAATCTCTAGCAAAATCTGAATCCACATAATCAACAAGTCCATCTCTAGATCTTCCAAACTCCAAACAAGCACTAGATGTACCACGTAGGTATATGAAAATACACTGAACAGCTTTCCAATGCTCTTTGTCAGGATTAGCCATGTATCTACTGACAACACTCAATGTGTCGACGGGGGATACCCGTAGACCGGATATAGAGGGTATTGGGGTCCGTTGGTACGAGGATCTACGTAGTACGGCATCAAGCAAACAAAAGACAAGGATTATACTGGTTCAGGCCCTTTGGTAGGTAATAGCCCTAATCCAGTTGATATGGGATTATATGATGGAAACCACAGATTACAATGGGAATAGCAGAACTCCATGATACCGATGAGACCGTAGTCGAGTTGGTCCGACTAGATCTCCCGGTGACTTGGCTCCCGCGGGCTCCGGCTCCATAGGCTGTGGTGGGTGTGTTGGCGGTGATATTCGATGCCTTAGGTCCTGCCCAGGGGGTCCCTTATATACCGCGGGTCAGTTGATCTCCAAGTAGTACTCGGAGATATCGGACCTCTCACGATATGGTAAAGACCTAGTCTTGTCCGAGTAGAACTCCTTCCATCCGTAGATACCATCCCTATCACGTGATAGATTTCCTTAATGTATACGGAAACTATCCA